GCCCCGCCTCCGTCCGCGCCCCCTCCCCGCGCGCCCCGCCCAGGCCCTGCGTCGGGGAAACTGAGGCTGCCGGTGGGGTCGCCCCAAGGTCACGCGGCCCGAGGCCTTGCAGCCGCTCGTAGGCCTGGTCCAGAGGGGAAACTGAGGCCCGGGGAGGGCAAGGACGCGCCCAAGGTCACTGAGCCGATCCTCCGGGCCGGGGCCTCGGTGCGCGCGACCTTGGCAGGGGCCTTCTCCCCGTGCCTCCCGAGCCTCGGTTGTCGTCTCGATCCGGAGGGCACGGGAGGCTGGGACCGCTGGCTATCGGGCTTGGAGTCGAGGGGCGGGTCACTGCGCGCCTGTCCCCCTTTCCGATAGGTCTGAAAATTTCCATAATAAAAGGGTTTTTAAAAGGCCACGGAGCCCTTGCTTGTCACGCGCGGGCCCTGGACAAAGGGCGTTGGGAATGGTATTTCGGGCAGGATGAGGGGAGGATTCGTAGAGTCCCACAGACGCCGCCCCCCCTTAGTCTGCATAAGGGGAAACCGAGGCCCAGAGCCTGGCCATGGCAGCACGCAGGCTGGCGGGCTCAGGTCCTGGCAGGCTGGTTGGTGGGCTTTAGAGCAGGGCGGTGCCCCGCAGGTCCTGAGAGCCGCAGCCCCACCACCCTCCCCACCTGCTGTCCTGTGGCGAAGCCCAGCAGGCTGCCCGTTTCTCTGCCTCTTGGGCCCCTCCTCCCCAGCTCTGGGAAAATACATGAGGCAGTGCTTCTGGGGCTGGGGCTGCTTAGTGTGAGCTGATGGGGGTGTGGGGGGGTCTGACCCTAGGTCTGCATCCTCACCCAGCTCACCCAGAGGAGATGGCAGACGAGGAGAGGCGAGGCCCTGGGAACCACAGGAGGCCAAAGCCAGGCCTCCTCCTGGCCAGCCTTGGTGGCAGTGTTTGGCCTGTATCTGGCGGCATCATCGGGTGCCCCTGCCCACCAGGATGCATGTCAATGCCTCTTAAGAGGAGAGGTTGGACTAGTCCCTTCACACAGCAGATGCTCATAGTGGCTGAGGGACCGCCCTCCTGCTCTGCACACTGGGTGGTCTGAACCAGACTCCAGCCCTATGTGCCCCCAGGTCTGTGCACCCCCAAGGTGGCCAGGTGGGAAGGTGGGTGGGCTGCTGTGTCGCTCAGGGCAGCCATGAGCAGTGGGGCAGGCAGCAGAGTTGGCATTGCCAGGCTGCAGCCTGCCCCGGGGCAGATGTATGTTCCACTGAAGGGGGGTCTTTTATGTTCACCCTGGGAAGATGTCAGGCTGGGCAGGTCGCCAGAGCCCCAGGGCTGAGGCTGAGCCAAGGAGAGCCTGACCGCGGCCAAGCCTGGGGGCCGCCAAGCCTGCAGTGGGAGATAGGCCCCTGAGTCCCCGCCTGCCCACTCCCTGCACTGGGACCACAGAGGACGCTGGCACTAGGGGTCCTAGCCCCTCTCTGAGCCTTAGGAGCTCTGTCACCAGGCCCTGGCGACTCCTGTCCAACCACACCTCCACGATGGGCCAGGCTGCTGTCAACATGCGGGGAGTGGTTCCAGCCCCTGCTTCCCATCCATTCTGAGCATTTGCCCTGGCCAGAAAGGCTGCTGCACGCACACATTCATTCAACACGTATTTGCTGATCACCTAATATTCAGACACAGGGGATATGGAAAAGGGCTTTGGTGGTGCTGTAGTCCAAGCATTTGACTGCTAACCAAAAGGTCAGCGGTTCAAACTCTCTGTAGGCGAAAAATGAGGCAGGCATTTTTTGTACTAATTTACAGCCTTGGAAACCCTATGAGGCAACTCTACTGTCCTGTACTAATGCACTTGATGACAGGGGGCTCCTGGGTGGTGCAAACTGTGGACGTACTCATCTCTAAATGAAAGGTTGGAACCTCGAGTCCAGCCAAAGGCACCTCAGAAAGCCTGGTGACCTCCTTCTGTATGAGCCGCTGAGAAGCCGTGGAGCCCAGCTCTCTGGCCACGGGGGCACCAGGAGGCACAGGAACTGGATTCTGAGGCACCCAGATTGGGGCTGGCAATACGGCAATGAGTCCCGCAGGTGCACCCTGGCCTGGCGGATGAGGGCCAAGTCGGCACAGAGAATACCAGTAACCAAGTTGTGAATATTGTTTTTGACTACCCAATTCCCGTCAGAAGGAGCTAAGTGCTCTCCAACGCTAGGCACAGGGAGAGGGGAGGCACTGGGGCCATGTCTAAGCAAAAACCTGAATGAGGGCTGGTGTCATGTGGACATCTGCGAGAGGAGTGAGCCCGGGCGCAAGGCCGTGCACAGGCCCTGGGGCAGGTAGTGCCTGAGGGGGAAGGTGGCAAGGGATGAGATTGGAGGTCCAAGCTAAAGAGGAATGGGGAGGGGGTCTGGGAGACAGTAGAGTGCAAGACTGTGTAGACAAATTAAAAAAAATGGAAACACTTCAAGTCACTTCCCATCTCCGCATAACCCCCCACAGCCCCCATCCCTTTCCGTGGCCATGGTGTTGCCCCTCTGGTGCTCTCGGCTCTAGGCACACAGGCCCCTTCTTCTTGGCCAACCACGCTCCGTGGGCTGCCCTCGCCCCTAGGCCACTTTCCCCTGGCCTCAACCCTTAGCCTCTCCCCTCAAATCCTTCCTGGCCCTCACCAGCCAGTCCCTGCGCTGCTGGCTCAGTCGAAGGCCCAACCTTACACAGGGTGAGCAAAAATAACTTCCAATCAAGAGTCAAATGGGGTCCAAGGTCTCGGGAGGGGCCTAACCAGTGAGGGGCCCTGAACTCAATAAAAACCCATCAACCCCATATTTATCATCAAGGAATTTGAAGGTCTCGTCCAGGGTCTCAGAGCCACATCCACCATCACTCGGGGCACAGCCCGCAGCACCACCAGGGTTGTAGGTGACATTAGGTACCATCTGCCCACCCTCTGGCTTCCCCACTGATGGCCCCTTTAGGGTTCCTGGACTTCCCGGCTCCTCGCCGGGTTCCCTCTTATCTGGGAACTTGGGGGTGTGGGCCTCGGGGCCACCGCTCCTGCCTTAGTCCCATAGAGGGAGGGTTGCTGCTTGCTGTCTCAGCACCACAGCCAGAGGCCCAGTGTCGCTGCAGCCTTGCTCCCTCGGGGCTCCAGGCCCAGGGTGGGCCAGGAGAGGGTGATCTGTGCAGGGCTGGGAGGAGAGGCACTGGAGTGTTCCTGGCAGCACCCCACGAACGAGCCCTTGTTCCTCCCGCCTGCCCACTGCCCATGGATCCCGGGCGGCCGTGGAGGCGGTTTCCTGGGCGGCGAGGCCCTCCCACCGCCCTTCTGAGGAAGCCCGGGCAGCGCGCGAGCGTCCCCAGTGCTCGCCGTGAGGGTGGCCGCTGGGCACGGCACTGCACTAGCAGCC